GGTTCACGTTCTCGACCGTCAGTTCTCGCGGCTCACGTCCATTGTGATTCAAACCATGGTGATCGTACGCCCAGTAAAGCAGTGGCGCGTGGCCTGTGGCACTGCAACCATCTCAACGATGGACTTGTCGGCCGTGCGCTGGCAAGACGGTGCGCTCACTTCGTCGCAGGAGGCCACGTACGATGTCATGGTCGGCACGGAGTTTCCCTATGTCGACTACCCATTCGACTATGTACGGCTGCTCAACCCCGCGAGCCGGTCCGGGGCGTGGGAGGCCGTGATCGTAGCCACGGGTGAGCCCGTGACGATCTCGGGTAGCACTGGCACGTACCGGTACTCGCCGCGCACCCAAGGTCGATACAACTACTTTGTGTGGCAGCTCCCAACGAACCCGATATCGTATCTGAGCAACATCCAGTGGGTCACGGTCGTCTATACTGTCGACTCGTGGGCGTGGGTTCGATACATCTTGGACATGGGCATCAGCCTCATCCTCATCGCCAACACGATCGTCGGAGTCATTGCGTCGCTCAATATCTACCGCGTCCAGCACATTGTGTGGATTCCCGACGTCTACCCGGGTATTCAAGCCGAAATCATGCTCCGGAGTCTTCTTCTCGTTGCGATCTGCGTCACGACCGACTGGTGGCACCTCTTCGAGTACTGCATGGTCAAGTACACGGCGCGGCAGTCATGGGGCTACACCGAGCTTGTCCTGGACGCCGTCGTCCGCTCGGACCTCCAAGTGCTTTTTCTCGCTCTCTTCCAGCTGATCGCGAGTCTTCTTGGGCTCCGTCTTCACGTCGCCCTCCTCCTGGCCATCTACTTTGGCTGCTACACATCGTGCGACGCGATCATTACCGCCTGGCCTCTGCAAGCCGAGGCCGCATCCGCTTGGCTCTACCACAACTACCTCCTCAACACCCTTGTGGCCAACGGCGGCATGGACATGTGGGCCTATCATGAGAACTACGAGACGTCGTGGGCTGTCATGGCCGCCCAACTCGTCTGGTTTCTTCTGGCCCTCGCGATTGCCACCTTCTATGTTGTGCTCGTGGCGGTGCAGACAGGGTACACGCGCCGCCGCCGCGCTAAAATTTTCTCAGGCGGCTCCACGGACGGTCGGTCGACGTCGGGCCGGTCGAGCCGCCGCCTCTCATGCATGGTCATCAAGAGCAGTGTCAAGACGGCCCTGGACCCCAATCGCGTCTTCAAGCGCAGCAACAAAGGGACCGAAGCAACGATGTTTGAGCGCTACGTGCGGCGGGACCAGATGACAACGTCCGGGCTGGTCGCGCCGCTGACTGACCACGTCATCGTTGGCGGCGTCATCCACGCGTCGCACTCGCTAGTCTGGCTGCTTGGCTTCGTGCTCCTTGCCGACGACGTTCTTCTATTCATCGAGGATGTGCCAAAGCTCTGGCTCAACGCGCTTTTGGCCCGCGATGTCTTTGCAATTTACGGCTACAAGCTCAACAAGACGAAAGACTCGATTGCGCCGCTACCCGAGCGCATCTCAGCGGGTAGCTACAGTGCCAGAGACCTGGGCGCGCTCTCGCTCAAGCCGCTGCGGTGACGACGCAACACGTATTCATAGTTGGTAGAAGACATCGTATGGTACAGGCGCAATAAGTTCTTGTTTGTTCTAATCGCTGTCGCTGTCGTTGCCAAAAGCACGGGCAAAGCCAGATCCTGCACCTCGGGTTGGCGCTGCCTTGAACGCCGTCGGCTTCTTCTTCGGGACCGTGGCCCAGCCGCTGGCGGCGCTGCTGGCGGGCTTCTTGGCGCCGCCCTTCGCCTTCTTGTACTTGGCGAGGGCCTCCTTGGCGACGCGGTCACACTTGTCCTGAAAGTCGTCGTCGAAGAACTCGATGCTCGCCGTCTCGGCGTCGTACAACGCCTCCTCAATGCCCTTCTTGCCCTGGAGCGTCTTGAGGTCCGCAAGCGTCAAGCTCATCGAGTGCTCCTTCTCCTGGAGGATCTGCAGCGGAATGAGCGCCAAATGCAGCTCGAGGACTTGGGCTGCATGCCGCAAGGGGTGCGTAATGGGCGAGATCGATTGGACGTGCGCGAGCCGCTTCTCGAGCGCTTGCAGCTTGGTCGTCGCTTTCTCCTTTTGCTTGGCGACGCTCAGGTTCTCGAGCTCGGCGGTCAGCGCATCTACGTTGGCCGTCATGGTCGCGACGAGCTCCTTCTTCTCCGACGCTGTCAGCAGCTTCTCGTCGACCATGCGCTTGATCTCGGCCTGGAGGTGCGCGACCTTGGCGTCGTTGGCTTCCTGGCCCGCATTGCCGTCGTACGCGGCCTGCTCGGCGGCGTCGAGGATCTCGCCACGCACCATCTTGGCCTCGAGGAGTGCAAACTCGGTCATCGCATCTTGGATGAACTTGACCGCGCGCTTCTTCTGGCGCCACGACGGCAGCTCGAGGGGCACGAGCTTCTTCACAAAGTCGTCAACCTCGCACGAAAGCATGAGCAGCTCGGGCGTCTCGTCGATGGACGGGATCGCGATCGGCGCCGCCGCCGTCTTGCCGCCTGCCGCCGTCGCCACGACCTTGGGGAAGACGAGGATCGTCTTGAGGTTCTGGCCCGTATCGTGCTGCTGCTTGAACATGCCCTGGCAGTCCATCGTGCACGCAGCCGACCGGTCTTCGACAAAGCCCACGTCGCGCAGCGCGTTGGCCATCCACTTGGGCAGCTCGTCCGGGTACCGCGAGCGCACGAGCTTGCCGCCGCCGACGACGAACGTGAAGCGGAGCATCTCGCTGATCTCGAAGGCCGCGCCGAAGGCTGCAACGACGAGGTCCCGCGTCCGCGCCTCCGTGTAGCCGCCGAGGTCGAACTGCTCGCTCTCGGTCGCAGCGCGGATCTCGCCTGCCAAGCCGCTCATGTTGCGGTTGTGGTAAATTCGGCACTGAAGCCACCGACGTGCCGATAATACGTTAAATTCGGCAGTGTGGATTTTGTCTTGCCGAAAGGAACAGCGCATCCAACACGTTGAGCCAGAGATCCAGGAGTCTCTGGCCAACGCTGTGGCGAGGTCGACAGCGCCCCAGTAGGAGCGGCCACTTGCCACAGTCGATGCTGACATGCCATTTCGAAATCCAGAAAAGACGGGCACCAGCGATGAGGGCCAGCTCGGCCAATCAAGCCGCTACGATCCGGTACCTCCGCTTGACACCCAACGTCTCGGCGGCGTGCGCCTCAACCCGTCGTCAACGATTGCGAACGTGGTATCCCTATGGCTTGTGCGAAGCCGACGAGGTCGCCCGCTCGAGCTGCCTGCCACCGTGCAGAGATCCAGCACACTCTGATGGAGCTGCGTCCACTGTGCCTCAAAATGAGCCATGCGACAGTGAACGGCGGTCGATGCACGGCAGGCGATGCGATCTTGGCCAAAGGGCTCTTCAAGTATACTTATGTATGTCGTCGGCAGGTACCAGGGACGACGTTTGTTTGTGCGGCGAAGGATAGCTCGTACGGGAAGATATTATACACAACACTCGAAGTGAAAACAACTCGACGTCGGGACCGCGAACATGTGTGCACCGTACTAGTACGTACAGTTGAACATCAAATTTCTTGTCGACCGTGCCACTTAAGGCCAATCGCACGTCAAAGCCACGGGCGGTTCTGCTAACAGCGTGGCACTTTTGACGCCTATGTCAGATGCAAATCAATGCCAGCACAGCAGTGCACTACAGACACAGCCGTAATCCTCGTAGCTGGCTGCCCTACCGACCGCGCATCTTCGACCAAGTCGGCTTCGTAGTTAAATATGGCAATATGTGGTTGCATATGGCATGTGCCACAAATAATTACGCAACGCCGAATAACTTGGGCTGTGTGCCTCCAACGGCGACATGACATGGCTCTGCGTGCTCTTCAAAGCAATGTCTATCGACAGGCAAAGCATGGGCGACTTCATTTTTCGGACTTGATTTGGGCCGTCGAGCCCGTCGGGCCGCGGAGTCGGCCATACCAGGTATGATGCTATCTGATTGGTTGAAAAGTGGTATAAAGCGGCCAATACAAGTGCGTGGCTGTATTATTTTGAAACGAATCATTTTATGATGCAAAATTTGTATGTTATAGTACATTCGAGAGCAAGACAGCACGAAACCTGAGTGGCAAGGTCAGACCATTCTGGTCCACTAGTGCGTGGTCGCCGAGTACCTCTACGTGAAGTACTTGTCCACTACCTATCGAACCACAATCGATATCGACCCCCCAACACCCGAAGCTACTCGCCTCGGCCAATCGTCCTTGTTGGCGCAACGATTGGCCGAGGCGAGTAGCTTCGGGTGTTGGGGGGTCGATATCGATTGTGGTTCGATAGGTAGTGGACAAGTACTTCACGTAGAGGTACTCGGCGACCACGCACTAGTGGACCAGAATGGTCTGACCTTGCCACTCAGGTTTCGTGCTGTCGGCGTATGCGACCCAAAGTGTGAGGCAAATCGTGCCGGTGCGAGCAAAGTGATGTCGCGCTTGACATTCTTGTTTGTGCCAACTTCCTACTGGGGGACGACCGACGTGCAGACGGCGACGATCGCGAGGGGGTTGGCTTGCTGCTGCTGGTATCGGAAATTCGAGACTAGCTACATGACGCCAACTTCAGTAGCACGAGCGGCCGGTCCATGCACATCACCGAGCGGCATGGCGGCCTGTCAAAATTGCTTGTCAAAACGCATCAATATATATTGTTGCGAGTCATATTTCGATGTCTTCTACCAACTATGAATACGTGTTGCGTCGTCACCGCAGCGGCTTGAGCGAGAGAGCGACGAGGTCTCTGGCACTGTAGCTACCCGCTGAGATGCGCTCGGGCAGCGGCGCAATCGAGTCTTTCGCCTTGTTGAGCTTGTAGCCGTAAATTGCAAAGCCTTCACAAGGCAGCAGAGCATTGAGCCAGAGCTTTGGCACATCCTCGATGAATAGAAGGACGTCGTCGGCAAGGAGCACGAAGCCGAGCAGCCAGACTAGCGAGTGCGACGCGTGGATGACGCCGCCAACGATGACGTGGTCTGTCAGCGGCGCGACCAGCCCGGACGTTGTCATCTGGTCCCGCCGCACGTGGCGCTCGAATATGGTGGCTTCCGTCGCTTTGGCGCTGCTCTTGAAGACGCGGTTCGCGTCGAAGGCGGCCTTGAAACTACTCTTGATGAGCACGAACGAGAGGTGGTGACTCGACGGTCCAGAAATCAACGACCGACCGTTTTTGCAACTGCAGTCAGAAACAACGTTGGCGCGGCGGCGGCGCGTGTACCCTGTCTGCACCGCCACGAGCACAACATAGAAGGTGGCAATCGCGAGGGCCAGAAGAAACCAGACGAGTTGGGCGGCCATGACAGCCCACGACGTCTCGTAGTTCTCATGATAGGCCCACATGTCCATGCCGCCGTTGGCCACAAGGGTGTTGAGGAGGTAGTTGTGGTAGAGCCAAGCGGATGCGGCCTCGGCTTGCAGAGGCCAGGCGGTAATGATCGCATCGCACGACGTGTAGCAGCCAAAGTAGATGGCGACGAGGAGGGCGACGTGAAGGCGGAGTCCCAGAAGACTCGCGATCAGCTGGAAGAGAGCGAGAAAAAGCACTTGGAGATCGGAGCGGACGACGGCGTCCAGGACAAATTCATTGTAGCCCCATGACTGCCGCGCCGTGTACTTGACCATGCAGTACTCGAAGAGGTGCCACCAGTCGGTCGTGACGCAGATCGCAACGAGAAGAAGACTCCGGAGCATGATTTCGGCTTGAATACCCGGGTAGACGTCAGGAATCCACACAATGCGCTGGACGCGGTAGATATTGTACGACGCAATGACTCCGACGATCGTGTTGGCGGTGAGGATGAGGCTGATGCCCATGTCCAAGATGTAGCGTACCCACGCCCACGAGTCGACCGTGTAGACAACATTAACCCACTGGATGTTGCTCAGATACGATAACGGGTTCGTTGGGAGCTGCCACACAAAGTAACTGTATCGACCTTGGGTGCGCGGCGAGTACCGG